GAATAATCTTATCCAAGGACCAGTGGTGAGTTTCAAAATTTTTTGGAGCCTGTTCTGTAGGTGTGGCCTGCTTTCCGGGTCCACTGGTGGAACCTCTTCTAACCTGTTTGGTAGATTTGACGAACCGGTTCTACTGAATAGGTGCGAACTGGTAGGAACCCACCTCTGATTAGTAGTGACATAAGTCTTCCAATATTTGGGGGGTTGCCTCAAAGAACAGATGACTTATTCTCCAGAACGGGGGTCCCCAACCTTTCGGACCTCAGGGACCACTAAATTAATAATTTTAAATCCCACGGACAATTAATATGATATGCCTAATGACTGACTGGGTGGGCATGGCTAGGTGGTCACGTGACAGGTGGGCATGGCCAACTTGATTTCACTCACATTGAGTGTTGCCTTGCCATGCTCTACTCGACCATCCCTTCCCAGCAGCCACCCGCCCAGGCTGCTTAGTTGCCCCAACAGGAAGCAGTGGCTGGAGCTAAGCAGCCACCATGAGAAAGAGTTGGCAAAACAGCTCAGTTCAGATTGGATCTGACCGAGAAGGAGGCTCAGCAGAAGTTCCTCACTGAGGACTACGAGCATGGGCTTTCCAAACAGAGGGAAGACCTGTGGGAGTGCAAGACCAGGTGCCGGCACCTGGAGGCTGAGTGGGCTGAGATGGTCAGCCAGTTCCAGGCCATGATGCAGTCCCACTGGAACGAGGCCCTCCGGCTCTTCGCCACCAGCGGCTCTTCCTCCAGCCTTCATCCAAAGCCCCTCACCAGGAGGCCGAAGCAGACCCCAAGTCAGAATTTCTGCCCCCCTCTGACCTGCACAAAAAGACCCTGAAAGTGGGGGGGACTCTCTGCAGCAACACCAGGGTTCATTGCACATATCCGGCCCAGAGGCTATAGTTTGAGGACTCCTGATTTAGAGCAATATAAAAATTGCAAATATTTTTTCAGTGCGGACCACCAAAATTTTCTCACAGACCATCAGTGGTCCACGGACCACCAGTTGGTGATTGCTGCTCCAGAGCATATGGAGGAAGGACAAGAAATAACGGGGGGAAGACCACCACAGAGAGATCCAACCTAGAATTAATGAGAAATTTCCTGAAAGTGAGACCAATCAATAGAAGAACTTACCTCCTGGAATTAGAGGTGCTCCATCACAGAAGGTTTTCAAAAATAGACTGGACAACCATTTGTCTGGGAAGCTATGAGGTCTCCTGCCTTGAGCAGAGGTTGGACTAGAAAACTTCCAAGATCCCTTCCAGCTCTATGATTCGATTCCTGCCTTGAGCAGGGGTTGGACTAGAAGACCTCTGAGGTTGCTTGCAGTGCCACGATTCTACTGTCTCCTGCCTCGAGCAGGGAGTTGGATTAGAAGAGCTTCAAATTCCCTTCCAACTCTGTTATTCCGTGATTCTACATGTTGAATCAAGCCTGAGAATTTAATGACACAGCGATTGTGGCATGACTCTTCCAGGGTTTAAGGAATCAAATTTTCAACGCCTGCCTGCGGGGGCGCTCTTCTCAAGCCAATGTCCATGGAAATGTTGGCTGTGGAATAGATTTGGAGTTGGAGTCAAACTTGCATAATTCATACGACCTCCAACCATTCGCAAGCGACGTGCCGCAGCCTGTACTTTGCTGAGTTTTGCAACATGGCTTACATTTTTTTTTTAAAAAAATAGTGCATGTATTGATTAAGTTAAAAGCATGAGCATAGAGGTATATCTGGAGGAAATAGGTTGATATGCATTTTTGCTAGGTGGAAAATCGGCCCTGTAGCCAATATTTTTCATTTGCTCAGAGAGGTGAAGGTTATAGCATAACCATAAATAAGTCAAACAGTGTCTCTCTCTCTCTCCCCCTTCCTCCTCCTCCTCCTCCTCCTCCTCCTCCTCCTCCTTTTTCTTCTTCTTCTNTTCCAGCTGCCAAGCTCAGCATCTTTAACCACTGAACCACCCTTTACATACTTTAACCCTTTCCTTCCCGCATAGCATTACAGTTACTTAGATCTCCTTCATCTGATTGAGCAGGAAGATACCGCAGTTTAAAAAAACCCAACAGGATCATTCCAGCAATAATGGTATTCTAAAATCAACCTTTCTTAACTCAGCAACTTTGAGATGGGTAGACTTCAACACCCAGAATTCTTTAAAACTTGCTAGCATTTAGAAACAATTTAGGGAAATTTTGGCATTTCATTTCACACTTTCTGCATCCAAATTACCGGAATTGGGCCTTGCCTGGCCTTGCCAGGGTCTCCTCTTGCTGTTCTTCCTGCTCCTCTTCTGGCATTTCAAGAGCTTCCTGCGTAATGCTTAGAAGATGCCTCTGGCCTGGGCCAGACTCCGGTTCCTGCTTGGGCTGAGACACGTCTGCAACTTTGTGCTCGGTGATGCTGGAGAGATTTAAAAAATGGAATCAGGTCTCAGCCTCTCAGTATGCAGAATTATTTCTGGCCTACATAGTCTAGTGAACTGCCTCCAAACTACCATCCTTTTGTAAAAATCAAGTGCAAGAATGGGCTGGGGTGGTAACTGGGTCACTCCGATTCTTCCCGAATCTGTCCCAACAGTGGGGACAAGATCATGTGAAGAAGACACAAGTTTGTCCAGTATTCTCATAACTAGCAACAAAAAGATAGCAGAAGCAGAAAAAACAGTGTCTATGGGTTGCAGCAGGGATGTGCATGGATATACAGAGAACAAAGCAAACTCCTATAAAGCCACAAATAAAAGTGAGAAAATTATGTACCACTTTAAAGGCTGAGCTTTTGTGGACCAGAGTCCATTTGTCAGAACATAAATTGAGAAGTGGGAAGAAGCCAGAGAGGGACAATGAATTATTAACATGGCTAAGGTATATATACAGGTATATACAGTGTGTGTGTGTGTGTATGTGTGTGTACATACATACACACACACACACACACACACACACACTTTAAGTCTATAGCAGTGTTTTTCAGTCCTGGCAACTTTTAAGATGGGTGGATGTCAACGCCAGAATTCCCTAGCAAGTATACTGACTCGGAAATTCTGGGAGTTGGAAGTCCACACATCTTAGTTAACCTTGTTTGAAACACACTGGGTTTACAACCTCCAAAGGCATAAACAGCAATTCAGCAGGATTCTCTAAATATGAGAAAAATATTTTATAATAATAATAATAATAATAATAATAATAATAATAATAATCAGCTTTTAATTTAGAAAATGGATGAAAACTGAAACACTTAAAAAATGAATGAAAACTTCTTTAAAAACCAGTCAGCAATATACTGTAGGCTATAGGAGATGGGCAGGGAGGGTTAAACATGTTTTGCTAGCACCAATTTGGCTTGACCATTAGTAGATCAGATTCTTGTATATACCGTAGGTAACATGATATACACTGAATTCTACTCCTAACCCTGGTTTCCTGCGCCTGACATGAATCTGAGCTACTAACAGTCAAGCTGAATTGGGGCTAAATAAGGGTCAATGGAATTCATAAGGGGCTAGACTTAGGTCTCTAAACTTTAACCGCACCCTGGTGCATACTTGCTCATCTCCTATATAGTATCCTATATACCTCTATAGAAGTCAATTCAATAGACAGGCAACATTCTCCTCAGAAGGTTCACACAACAAGAACATCTTCAGAGCCATTTTATTGAACAAATGCTAACATGTTTGAGGAACCATTCATTATCCATGCACACCTACAACAGATGAAGCTGAACTGTCCCAGCAATTCAACAACTTCAAAGGGCATCCAGACAGAGAATGCTAAGCAACACAATCTCACAACCCAAGCTGAGAATGGAAGCCCAAAAGCGCCAGGAAGTCTCACCTGACAGGCCCAAAATTGAAGGCTATGAAGAGCAGCACAACCATGACACAGATCACTTTTCGGTTCCCGGAGCCAAACTTCAGGTCGGTGTTCTATATGGGAAGACAGGCGAGTCATCAGGCATCACAGAACACCACATTCAAAATTTAATGGAATGGTCTGATTGAATGTTCTGGCTTTTCCCAACTCCTGGCTGAAATGCTGAACCAGAGCAACTAATTGCTAAGTTATCCTGGCTGATATTGTACCATCAAGTTGATGTCGGCCCTTAGTGACCAGATGGGTAGATTTTCTCCAGGACAATCTGTCCCCAGCCTGGTTTTTCAGATCTTCCAATAGTGCATCTAAACTATCCTACTAACAGCCATCAGAATTGGAGAAATGAAACCTGCCAGAACAAGAGGGTCATATCAGCATTCTCAACAGGACCCTAAAAGTCTCCCAAAATGCAGGAAATATTTCAAAACAGAGAGACGCCAGCAGCTGGCATTCCAGCTTACTAGGAACTGGCCAGCTCAATAGTAAAAGAATATTACACTATATCTGTAGAGGAAAAAATGAGGAGTAAGTGACTGCGCTCATATGTAATATTGAAGCATACAATGGTTTGTTTCATTGTGGCTTAAGGTGCTGTGTTAATTTTGTAAATGGTATTATATTCAAGAAGTCAAAAATACAAGTGATCCTCCATTTTCGGCCAGCTGCTTAGGGACCGGTTGAAGTTTACAATGGACTGCAAAAAAGATAACTTATGACCTGGATTCAAAGTTCTGACAGCAAAGCCCCATTCCACACACACCCCTAGTCACCTGATCACATATTGGACACTCAGCAACCAGCCTACATTATGGCCATTTGCAGTGTCCCATGGTGATAAGACCACAATTTACCTCATAAACAATTTCCATCAAAAAACGTCCATTGCAGACAATAGATTTCCCTTAATAACACTGTGGTAAATGACTGCAGATTCACTTAACAATCACAACAAAAAATGTTATAAAATTGGGTCACTTCTATGATGACCTGTTTAACGACCAGCATGAGTTTACAACTGCAATTCTGGGCTCACTTAGGACAGAGGTCCCCAACCCCTAGGTCACCGTACTGAACTGGGAGATAGATGTAAGCAAACATATTTCTATAGCATACCCTATTTGAAAATCGAAAAGCTCTCAGCTCGCCTCCTCATTATGTGGGGGCTAATCACGACAATGTGCTTTTTATAAGAAAGTCACAAGTCTCCTTCCTGGTGGAAGGGGCTCACCTCATCCAGGACACCGTCTAGCCGTCGCCGAAGAATAGCATTCTCCCGCCGTAGCCTCTCATTCTCCGCAAGGGCCTCTCGCAGCCGGGATTCCAATCCTTGGAGGTATTCCTTCTTTTTCCGGCGGGACTGACAAGCCGATTCACGGTTTTTTATCATCCGCTGCTGCCTTTTCAGAACCTTGATCTTGAGCAAATTAGTAAGGAAAATAATATTCACATCCATAGTATAAAAGAAAGAAGGAATGGAATTCAGGACTCTTTGCCATCTATTTTAGATAACTGACTGACACACTTTTTCCCCCCTGTGCTTTCTTTCTGAAATTCAGTTCTACATTTTGCATCAAAGGTAGGTCACACAGAGCTCTTTGCATCCTCCGGATCCACTGCTGACTTTAGTTTAATATTCTGATTTGTCCACCAGGTAAAACTTACCTTGTTTATCTTATTTTCTCTTCTGCCACAACAATTAGCAACAGTTATGTACTATAAACTTGCAAACTGTTGCTATTGTACTTATCTCTCTTTTTGGAGATCGTTAAAATGTAGGAGATTAACAGAACAGTGTGGATATTCCGGATGTGTCCTGCCTGTAAATCTGCCCATGTGGAGTCCTTTGTGCTCAGTGAGCTTGGTTGTTTGCAGACATTTCAGTACCTGACCAGGTAACATCAACAACATTAATGGGTGTAGGATTTGCTTTCCGCTTCTGTTACAAGCAGAAAACAATATTCTAATCAAGGAACTGCCAAGGGGGGGGGGGGGAAACCCACATCTCCACCAACATTGGCAGGGCAAGACAATGTTTATAAACAGACAACAAACTTCATTACCTTCTAACACTGATGAAGTTACCTAACATATGGAAGCAAACAGACCAAGCTCATAAAGCACCAAGGATCTTGCATTTCATCGCTGAGCTACGGAATTTCTCTTCTATTGGGATCTGCCCTGGATTTGATGTCTCTGGAAGAGAAAATGCTCTGGAACTAAGGATTTCAAACTTACATCAATCTCTTGGTTGCAGGGTCCTATTTGTGCTGGTGCAGGGATGATCGTTTTAGTTTCTGGCTTGGGGACTGAAGGGGCTGGTTTAGGTGAGAGAACTTCCTTCACCGGAGACTGAACCTTGATCAAACCGGACACTGGGAGATGCAGCAGCTCAGATTGGGAAATCACAACACTCTGTGCTGGAACTGGGGCAAAAAAAAAAAGCCACAACTCTGCTTCACATACACCGTAACCTTCATATAAGAAAACAAAGTGCTTCTTTCAGAATGTCCTACTCACCCACCCACCCCAAAGCGAAAAAGCCCATGCACCATCCCATATGATGTTTCCACTCTGTAGCAATAGCAATAGCGCTTAGACTTATATAGTGCTTTTACAGCCCTCTCTAAGCGGTTTACAGAGTCAGCCTATTGCCCCCAACAATCTGGATCCTCATTTTACCCACCTTGGAAGGATGGAAGGCTGAGTCAACCTTGAGCCAGTGGGAATCGAACTGCAGCTAGCAGTCAGCTGAAGAAACCTGCAGTGCTGCACTCTAACCACTGCGCCACCTCGGCTCATTCAGCTACTGGAAACTGCTCCATTCATATCCAAAAATAAAGTCCTCCTGGTTGGCTTACCTGAGATTCCAGGGTTGACGGTCTGTGATTGGGTTACAGGTACTGGCTGCAACAAGATGGTCTTACTGGAAGAGGCGGCTGTCTGTCCTGGGACAGTGGTCACCACGACAGGCTTTGGTTGAATGGGGGGTTTCCGACTAAGGATGCTCTCTGTTTTATTGGGAGCTGCTGGTTTCCCTAAGAGAGAATTGAGTAGTCAAAACAACCTATAAGAATCCATTACAGTCTTACTCAATTAACTGTACTGATGAAGCCACCTTGAGTTGGGAAAGACTCAGCTATTATCACCCTGAAGGAGGAAAAACAAAACAGAACAGGAAACAAATGAGATCATATATTTATTGCTCCCTTTCTTCAATGACTTCAGTTCTAACACTAATTATGCCTGTATTATTTATCTACTTCAAATGAGGTCATTTCATAGCTTTCCTTTTAGCAAAATAAAATGAAGCAAAGAAATGCACAAACTTATAAAAGAAAAATTAAAAAGGAAACAATATATATGTATGGCGATATACAGTATAACATTTATCCAATCTGTTATGAGAAGTACTTAACATGGTAAGTAAAAAAACATAGTCCATTGAAAATTAGATTCTTGCTAACAAATGAACTTTCACTAACATTCTAACTAGTGTGGGTGAGGTACCAACTATTAGGATTTAAATTACAAAAGCTGATGTGCAAAATACGAAATGTTGGCTTGGCTCAGAAAACTAAATACAAGGCCAAGAACTGGAAGGACAACACAGAGAATCTGAAAAAACTGTAGGGGACGTCAAGGCTCATTGTGTACAGTGAGAAAGAACAGAACATTTGTTATAATATCTCTATGATGTTTCTTTCTATTTAAAGAAAATACGTTAACATTTGCGCTTGTTTATATGTCATTTCCTTTCCAAAAATAAACTAACAGAAGCTTTTGGGGGGAAAAAATATAGTGTTCCAATATTTGAGGGGCTGCCACAGAGAGGAGGGGGTCAGCCTATTTTCCAAAGCACCTGAAGGCCAGATAAGGAATAATGGATGGAAACTGAACCAGGAGAGATTCAACCTGGAAACAAGGATACATTTTCTGACAGTGAGAGCAATCGACCAATGGAATAGCTTGCAATTCAGATGTTGTGGGTGCTTCATCACTGGAAGTTTTCAAGAAAAGATTGGACTGCCATCTGTCAAAAATGGTATAGAGTTTGCTTGGGCAGGGGGTTGGATTAGATGGCCTACAGAGTCCCTTCCAACTCTGTTAACCTGTAAATCTCTGTAAAAACATTTGAACTCAATTTTTTGGAATAATATGGAAAATATTTTCCTTTGTCTTTTTCTTGGACATTTTCCCCATTTTTCCCCCCGATGAGCTCTACAGAATTGGAATATTTTTTGGCACTTTTTTCTTGTTCATGCAAAAGCAATTAATGGAACTCTTTCTAAACTGTTACGAATGGATGTCAGGAACATGGACAGTTCACATACTACCGGACCTCACACAAAGTGTCCACCAAGAGAAACATAATCTCAAAGGTCTCATCCCCACCCAGAAAGGAAA